ATGTCCCCCAAGGGCCTGTACGCTAAAAGCCTGGTAGCCAGTGTGTGACACTATAAAGAAGTGGTGGAACCATTAGGAGGTGGAGACTTCCACAAGGAAATAAGGTCACTGTGGGTATGCCATGAAGGGGATTCAGGACCCTGATCCTTCCTTTCTCTGACTGCTCTGCCACCATGTGGCAAGTAGCTTTGGTCCTCCATATATTCTCACCAAGACATCCTGCGTTACCTCAGGCCCCAAAGAGCCAGCCAACCATGACAAACTGCTGAAATTAAGAGCCAAAGTATACCTTTCCCACTTTAAGGTTCCTTTACTAAGGCATATCATCACGGCAAAGGAAGGTCAACTAACAGAACAAACTCAGTGCCAGCCTTCCTAAGCGTCTATTGAACATTCAAATGGCAATACTGAGTGGACAATTGGACATGCAAGTCTGGAGTCAGGGACAAAAGGGACAAAGTGGCAAGAGGTGCAAATGTGTTGCTTATACCTATGACAATCATGTTGAAACACAAACTGTACACTGTGTAAGTATACAAAGGGAAGACAAGAGGTCCTGGGAATTGTGGAGCTCCTGTCAGGAAAAGATTAAGGAAATGAAAAGACACACATGAACTGGACAGAAGGAGCAGCCAGTAAACTGACCCGAGAGGAAACAAGGGGACAGATGGTACCTCTAAAGTCAGCTGGAAAAAGTACTTCAGAGAGGGCAGTGAGTGAATCCTGAGTGCCGGGTTCTACTACAAGAGCTGAGAAGGAAGCACCAGAGCTAGCGGATTTGAGTATGTACTTCTGACCGGAGTAGACTGAGAATGGACAAAGGCTGCCTTCAACGAGTTTGAGAATGAGGTCAATGAAGTGGAGGATGTAAAGAGAGATAAGTTGTTCAGGGAATTTTACTATGAAGAAAAACAAGGAAGCCAAATGGTAGTGGACAGAGGAAGGTCAAAACAGAGCTGCTGCTGCTGCTGCTACTGCTGCTGCTGCTGCTGCTGCTGCTGCTGCTGCTGCTGCTGCTGCTGCTGTTTTGTATTTAGTTTGTTTTGTTACTTTGATTGATCTGCGACCCACCTACCAATTTTCAGTGGAATTTATGTGCATGTTTCATGAAGTTGTAATCTATCATCCCTATTGGTGTCAAATCTCGGTTCACCACTTACACTCTGAAAACAAGTTTGCTTTCATTCTCTCTGATTCATTTCTTTCCGTGTCTTCAATCAGACAGATTTTAGCTTTGGGCTTTGCTAGCCTATAGCCTCCTTATCTCTAGCTCTGCTTCATATCCCCAGACTGGAAATCCCACTTCAACAATTCTTCAGTTGCAGAGATGTGCCGTATGTCATGGCCGAGAATGGGCTTATTCTTATGCTCCAGGCTTATGCTGAGGATTGGCTGGCCTTTACTGAAGTCGCTGATCAACTCTATGCTGACACCACATACCCTACATGTCCCTTTCCTAGACTAGAAATGACAACTTAATCCACCACTTATCAGTAAAGTTTATTTTTCCAAAAGTACCTTACATAACCTTGGCCCCGAAGCCAAAGCTCGCCTGCTGTTTTTCTATTCTCTTCCATAGTGTCTCCTGTGAAGCACAGGCTAATAATGCCTAAATAGTCTACCAGAATGTGATCATTAAAAAAAAAAAAACAAAAAAACAGTCCCCCAAAATTCTTAATCTAAGGCTGAATAGAACAGGTTGGCATGAATTCTACTTGAAGCTGTCTTATCAAATAGGTTAGAGTAGCTTACATATTGAAGTCTAAAATTCTCTATGACACTATTGCAGAGTTGATGCCCACTGTCTGAATACACGATTTTGAACTTCATTAGGCTCCAAGAAAAATAAAATTCTTTGTGTCTGCCTAGGGCTTTACATCTATCTGGTTGGTAAGTAGTCAGGTAAGAAGGCGAAAAACTAAACCAAAAATAATTTTAAAAAGGCTGGAAGAGGTCATATGTGTATATATATATACACGTATATATGTATGTATCTATAGGTGATACACATATGTACATGCACATCCATGTATTCATGTATGCATATACCTGTTTCTATTGATTTCTCTATTGATGTATCAGAATGAAATATACCAAAGTATTCCCAATTAAAGAGTAATAGTAGAAGAAGGATTACCAGAATACCCAGAATCTCATTCCAGCTGGGCAGCTAACCATCACTGTTACTTTGGACACATCATTTTTTCTTTCTTCTTTTTTCTTTCTTTCTTTTTTCTTTTTTTTTTTTTTTTTTTTTTTTTTTTTTTTT